TAATTTTAATTTTACTCATAGGATACAATAACGGATGATTTGGGAGTTAATGCGACTGATAATATACCTCATATTGGTATGCAATTTGATGCGGAGGAAGGTGCTTATGCATTTTACAATAGTTATGGAGGGTCTGTGGGATTTAGCGTGAGAAAAGATTTTCAGAATAAAAGCTTGAAAGATGACGTTGTCATTTACAGAAAATATGTTTGTTGTAAACAAGGTCATAGGAGTCGTGATAAAAGAGAGGGTCAAATAAGGAAGCCTCGAGCAGAGACAAGAATAGATTGCCAAGCTCATATGTGCATATCTTTTAATAAAGAAACTGGTAAATTTGTTGTGGTGAAGTGGGACGACAACAACAACCATCCTTTGCACCTTGCTGAATTTATGCATATGATGCCATCCCAATGGAAGGTTACCAAATCACAAGGCATTAATATTGATATGACAGCGGATTGTGGATTGTCACTTCAGACTTCCTATGATCTTTTACGTACTCAGTCTGGAGGAAAGGAATGTCTTGGTTTTACTCTTCTTGACCAAAAGAATTACCTCCGTGAAAGGATGCAACGAGACTTGAGGTATGGTGAGGCGGGTAGTTTGTTGAAGTATTTTCAAACGGAAGCAGTGAAAAATCCATCATTCTATTATGGAGTGCAATTGGATGCGGAGGAACATATTACTAATATTTTTTGGGCCGACCCAGTGATGATTATGGACTATGGCAACTTTGGAAATGTTGTTCCATTTGACACTACTTTTAGAACGAACAATGAGTATCAACCATTTGCTTGTTTTACTGGCTTCAATCATTTCAGGAAGACAGTCTTATTTGGAGCTGCATTATTGTATGATGAAATGACAACATCATTTCAGTGGTTGTTTGAGATATTCCTGCAAGCTATGTCTAGGAAATATCCTATTATCATCTTCACCGACCAAGATCAAGCGATGGCTAAGGCTATTTCTATAGTTATGCCAGAGACATACCATGAGTTATGTACATGGCACCTTTGTCAAAATGCTTTGAAACATTTGGGAAACATATATAAGGATGGTTCACATTTTCCTACTTGATTTAAAGAGTGTGTGTATGGATATGAAGATGAGCATGAATTAGTTGAGGCTTGGGATTCGTTGCTTGTGGAGTATAATTTGCATGATAATATGCGGATGAAAGCCACTTAGGCATTGCGAGAGAAATGAGGGCATGTGTATATGAAGAGGACTTTTACTGCAGGAATGAGAAGCACCCAATTGAGTGAGAGCTTGAATGCAGCCTTACGGAAGTACTTAAAGCCAGACCATGACATTATTTAGTTCTTTGTACATTTTGAAAAAATTGTGAATGATAAAGCGATATAAGGAGTCAGATTCAGATTACCAAGCTAGGCAAAAATTGCCCAGATTGAAGTTAAAAAGAGCTCCAATGTTAGTGCAAGCTGGGCAAGTGTACACTCCTACTATGTTTGAGCTGTTCCAAGAAAAGTATGATAACTTTCAGTTTGCTATTGCGACACCATGTGACGTGTTGGATGGGTGGCATCAATTTGTGGTTCGATTATATGATGAACATAGAGAGTATTTGGTCGTGGTTAAGGCTAATGAGGAGATAGTCAATTGTAGTTGTCGGAAGTTTGAAATGGAGGGAATATTATGTGGCCATGCACTTAAAGTCTTGGACATGATGAATATTAAGCAAATTCTTGAACAATACATATGTAAGAGATGGAGATGAGATGCAAAAAAGAGTTGTAGGACAACCCCCATTTTAATGTCAAATGAAGAGAATCCCAAGTTAATGGTGGCGTCATGTTACAGACAGCTTTGTCCTAGAATGGTACAACTAGCTGCTCGATCCTCTGGTCTTCAACCTGTATATCAATTGGTGTCACACGGTGTTGAGGAATTGTTTAAACAAGTGGATAGTTTGCATGCATCAATTGGTGATGGTGGCGATGATTCAATCCATGAAAATGTTGACCCAATCCATGAAAATATTGACCCAAGTGGAATAGAAAATGTTGACCCAACACTTCTTCAAGTAAAAGGTTTAAAAAGAAGAAGAATGTTACAAGGGTTGGGGTCGACTAAAATCTTGGCATGAGAAAGGAACAAAGAGGAAAAAAGGAGCTTCCCAACCATCACATATGTTTACGGTATCGTATAAATATAATTGTAGATTTTTTTAATTCACTTCATATTTTTATGTATTTCATATTTTTATTCACTTCATATTTTTATAAACATAATTGTAATTACAAGGTTTCAGTCACCCATGTACATCAGCATATGGTCATTCGATGTCTTCTTAAGCTTCAAATAGTGTACAAAGTGTTATGGTATATTACCTTATTGTTAATTTTATTGTTTGACTTATGTATCAAGTTTTTTTGTCTGACTTCTTCTCATTTATGTAGGGTACTCCGACTAATTCAACACATGTGCATTCTTTAAATGATGCTGAATTATTTTTCATGAATGGAGGATACAACTTGTAAGGATGTTTGGAGGATCAATAGTTACAAGGATGCAGATGGAGACTACTAGTTGCTTGTTGGATCATTTAATGAACCATTTATTTTTATTGGATCATTTTGTTGAAAATTATTTATTTTTAGTGAGACTACTAGCAGTAGTAAGGATGCTTGTTGTATTTTTAATGAATGTGATCTTTTTTTTGATGAATGTGATCTTTTTTTTAATGAATATGATCTTCCAAGTCACAACAATATACAAAATCCATAATTTCATTCAAATTAAACGCACAAGTTTATTTACAACACAAGTTTCATCACTACATCATTACTCTTACAGATCTACTTCACTAGAATCACAAATATAATAATGACCACTGGTAAGGTGACTACAAACATATTTAACTTCAATGTCATTACATTGTGTTCAATTCGTCGTACATTGTCTTCAATTCGTCGTACATCCATCCTTTCATTTCTAATTTTCGAAGAGGGGAGAGTAATAGGAGTCATCCACTTAAAAAAGTGACTGGAATCATCTTGACATTTGCAGTATAGCTTCCTAGGATTTTTTTCAGATTCAGAAACTTTGATAATCGCTCTTTTGGTACAAACGAGACAATACATATTGTGATATCTTAACTCTTCATTGCTTGTTGCCGTGCTTGAAGATGTCATTCTTGAACCAGGTAGAATTGCTTGAACTAGGTATCAGGTGATGGATGAAAGTTGTTGAACATACACAGAATATTGCAAATCAGTTGCGGTATTTCAACAAATATAAAAAGGAAGATAAAATAGTAACTTGTATAGGCCATATAATGAACTTCATCAAAATGATATTCAACATAATGATATTTTCATAGGGGAGTGTTGTATTGTTATAGCAAATGAGAAGGCAAATTCTGTAATGGCACATCCAAGTTTGGAAAAGAGAGAATTTTATTTCATGAATAATCAAAGAGTACAAGAATAAAAAACTGCAGCAACAGACTGCTGTCTTAGCACAAAGGAATTTAAAGTTCTAAATCCACAGAGTTGGCTTTAATCCTTCAAAAGGACTAAAACCTAAAAACTTCTGTCACAACTGCACCCAGTCATCAACACCAATCACTCCATCAAAGCATCAATGACAAAAACCTCTATCCAATTATGGCCAGAAAATCAGTTGCAGAATTGGACTAGTCATTAACACCAATCACTCCATCAATGACAAAAACCTCTATCCAATTCTGGCCAGAAAATCAGCTACAAAATTGGACCAGTCATCAACACCAATCACTCCATCAATGACAAAAACCTCTATCCAATTTTGGCCAGAAAATCAGCTACAAAATTGGACCAATTTTGGCCAGAAAACACAACCATAAAACCATAACACAATGGCCATAAAACACAACCAACCTCCTCTTAGCTGCACCAAAGTTCAACGCCACCACACAGAACACAACCAAAAAACCATAACACAATGGCCAGAAAACACAACCAAAAAACCATAACACAATAAACTTTAAACATTGTTTAACGCAAGTCATTGTTTCTGTACAAAAAGAATAAAAAATTAAGAGTAGTGTTCATTCATCAATTATTTCACAGAGTAGTGTCTCTTGCAAATAGAGTTCATTCATTCAACAAATTTGATAAATTAGGTAAATTTCACAGGGTAGAGTTCATTCATTCAACAAATTTGGTAAATTAGGTGAATTTCACATGTTAGAGTTCATTCATTCAAAAAATTTGGTAATATTCCTACAAATACCTTGCGAACGTAGTTTCATGGAGAGCCACTATTTTCGAATTCGAATTTTTCAGAGTGGCATTTGAAGCACAAATGTTGGAACACAAATCTTGAAAACCCTAACTTTTTTGTAGAGTGATCAGACGTTGAAACCCTTCACTTGGCAGACCTGCAATCAAAGATTGATGGTTCTTGGCAGTTTGAAGGTTGAATCTTCAGGAGGTTTCACTTGGCAGGACTTGCAATTGACGAAGATGAATCGAGTGTAGAAGGGGATCTTCAGTTTGAAGAAACGGGGGAAAGAGGGAGACTGAAAATCTGGATGGGAGTAGAACCATAAATGACATCGTTTTTGGTTAGGGTGAATAAAAAAAAATTCCAAAAATTAAGTGGAACGTTGTCGTTCCACTTAACCGCATGACATGCGGTTTTCTCCCAACAGTAGAGGATCTTCTCCCCAAGTGAATAACTAAATACTAAAGACTATACCATTAATTTAACTAATACTTCCTCACCAACCACTTTTTTATTATCTTCTTCCACCAAAAAATTCTAACTCCCACTTCAAAAGTAACATCTCTCCTTCAATCTCTTTTTTTTGCTCCATAGTCACGTATTCTTTTAACATTTTAGAAGTCTCACTTGAGGATTGGTAAGAAATTAGTTTCTTTTCTCTCACTGTCCATTATTGTGGGTATCATGTTTTTTTATTTTGTATTTCTCATGTGTTGAGATTTATTGTATGTAGAGTTAACGTGAAGAGTGAGGACATAGATTGAACAATGGCTACAAATCGTGGCAAACAAATTGCACAAATTGGTATTTTTTTTTCACCTTTTAGATTCAAATTAATTATGTATGTTTGATTTGCTATACATGGATGAAATTTTAACTATATGTCATTACATAATTTTACACTATAGAAATCCGTGACGATGACAACGAAGAAGTTAGAGCCGACTACTTTGAGATTAATGCACCTGATCAATTTTTAACTGTCAATAATGATGATTGTGAGTTAAAAGTTGGTATGTTAGCGTTTAGTGAAGATGAGACATTTAACATGTACAACAAATATGCATACAATAAAGGTTTTAGCATTCGAAAGGGGCATAAGAGCTTTTCAAGAAACACAGGTGAAGTTAGCAGACGCGTATTTTTATGTTCAAAAGAGGGATTTAGAGAATTTACAGACCCAAGTGAAGAGAAAAAATCTTATAAATTAGACACAAGATGTGGTTATCAAGCTCGTGTTATTTTTATGGTGAAAAATGGCGTGTATGAAATTACACAGTTTTTCTCTGAGCATAATCACCCTTTTGTTGAATGTGAACAACGACACTTGATGAAGTCCTCCTGAAAGATACAAAATACTAGTAAAGCTGTTATTAAATCAATGGTTGATGCTGGTATAAGAGCTACAAAAATATTTTCTTATCTGGTAAATGAAGTTGGTGGGTATCAAAATGTTGGATTTACTCAGAGTGATTGTCATAATTTTATACAAGCTGAAAGGTCAAAAAAAATTTCAGCCGGTGCTGGTCAGAGTTTGATTAATTATTTCAAGCACCAGCAAGTAGAAAATCCCATGTTTTTTTATACTGTGCAAGTTGACGAGGAAAATCAAATGACCAATTTTTTTTGGAGAGATGGAATATCAAAATTAAATTATGAGATTTTCGGAGATGTTATATTTCATTTGTTTGGTTGTTTGATGCTTTTTTAGAGTCCATGAATCATAAGGCGCCAAAAACCATTTTTACTGATCAAGATCATGCGATAGCAAATGCCATTACAACGGTGTTTCCTAATACTTGTAACCGCTTGTGTTAGTGGCATATATCAAAAAATGCCACTACAAATATTTCTTCTCTTTCTCGCGAACCTGGGTTTAGGGATGTTTTCTTATCTTTTGTATAACTGTGACTGTGAGAATGATTTTGAAGAAAAGTGGACTGAGATGATGGTGACTTGGGATTGTTTGAATGTGTCATGGCTTTAGAAATTGTATAACCTTCGTGAAAAAATGGGCTCCTGCATTTAGTCGTGATACATTTTCTTGTAACATTAGCTCAAGTCAAAGGAGTGAGAGCACAAACAATATTTTTCAACATATGGCTTGTAAGACAATGATTTTGATAGAATTTGTGCATCATTTTGAACAAAATGCTGAAAAAATGAGTGAAATTGAGGTGATTGACGATTATAATTGTGCTCATGGTAAACCTCGGGTTTTAGTTCGTGATTCTGGAATTTTGAAAAGATGGACCAAAAATGCAAAACAAGGGGTGGAACTTGGTATGACTTGTACCTTGTTGTTAGACAGTAGTGGAAATTCATCTAGGACATTGCGCCTCAACAAGTTAATGTGGAAGGCGTTTAGTGTTATGAATCTTAGTGCAGATGACGATACAACGGTTGAGATTGTAGAAAATAACATGGATAACATTGTACATCAAGTGAGAAAATACAAATCAACTTTATTAGAAAAAAATACAATTGATGATAATGATGATGAGAACATTCGTTTAGAAATTTCTAGTATGCCAATGTTGGATCCTCCACGATTGAGACAAAAAGGAAAAACATATGGTAGGCTAAAAGTTTCTTGGAGAAGAAGAAAAAATCATCAAAGGCAAATGCATGTACATACCGAATGCCACAACCTAGGACAACCATGTCAGGTAACAACCTATTGTCCTTCGTAAATTATGAAATTAATTTTATCGTATGAGTTTGTTATAATGTGTTTATAAGTAGTGGGATGCAATCATCAGTTCTAGGAATGGAAGATAACACAAACTTTCAAAATCAGGTATAATTACATTTTAAATTTAAAAATATTTACTCAATCATTAATTGTACTTTAATTATGTGATTTGCACGTGTATGCAGTTTGTACCACTGTTTGACATGCATATTGCCAATGGACGTACGGATATGTCTCATTTCAACTCAGTAGCTACAAATGTGCCTTGTCCGAATATGCCTTTTACCAGCTTATTACAACCCAATATTGTAATGTCGGAAATGAATCAGAGTTCCTCCAAAAGCACTTTTTACAAGGGCATGAATGAGTGAGGATCAATGAGAAATTTTGTTTAGACTTCTGGGAATCAATAATGAGATGATTTTGATGAACTAAATACTTTATTTTTTGATGACTTCATATTTAACTGCTATTGCTCAACATGAATGTACAATCCCATATGGATTACATTAATCCATTTCAATAATTCTATCCACAATTAAAACTATAATAAATTAATATATAAATCACATACATATCATTAAATACAGCAAACTAATAATGTTCCATTTATAAGAACTCCCTATCAGATAAATGAAAAAAGAAAAAAACCAGATCTGATTACATTCAAGTCCATGTTCAGCAAATCCATGTTCTGATTAAACAATAACATGGACAAAATAATCAACAAATACAATTTTCTCCTTCATTTCATATATAAAAGTCTACTGCCATCGCCAACTAACACCATTTGCAATTAGTTAGAGATAAGAAATTACATCTGTCATCATCTTGTTCTTCTCTATGTTTTTATTTCTCTGAAACTCTGATAAGAAATTAGTCTGAGATAAGAAATTACACCTTTAATTTTTTGATTTATTCATGGCCAACAGTTGCCCTTCCATGATTTCTCATTTTAGAGAGAGAAAAAGGATTGCTTACCTGTTCCTCCATCGAGAGAGAGAGAGTGAGATAACCAAATTGTGGGTCAGAACGGTGGTGTGGGACGGAGAGGAAAGATTTACAGAGAGAGAAAGATTAAAGTTCCACACACACCCCCACACCGATAGAGAGAGAGACAGAGAGTTTAACAATCAATTGGGATTAACAAGCAAGTTGCAATTCAATCACAGCCCCATAACCCAAAAATGAAAGCTTCACTCAAATTTTGTGAAGACCAAAAACCCTTGTTCCGAGCCAAAGTCCCTCTAAACATCATCGGCTGTCCGTTCCAATCCGGAATCGTCGCCGGTGAATCCAAAGAGCTCTCGTTGAATCTCAGCACTTTTTTCGATTCAGGCCCATTGTTCAAACTCGCTTACTGTCCCAACGACACTCTCAGCGGAGCTTGTGGAAACTCCGGCGATCACAAATGGGTACTTATCGTAGAATATTTTGTCATTTGGGACCAATATTATTGTTTTCGGGTATGGAGGTGAGAAATGATTTACAGAGGGAAAGAAATGGAAATGGAGAGTTGAGTTTTGAATTTTAGAGTTTTTAAAATTTGAAAAGAGAAAAAAGGACAGGCCTTTTTTTTTTTTTTTTTTTTTTTGGAGTTTAGTCTGTTAACTTTTCGTCCTTCACACCACATGGGCAAAGCCAGGTGATGTGTAATACCCATAGAAAAATTTCTCGGAATGAGAATTGTACTGAACGAATCTGAATTGTAACACAATCTGTAGTTGTCTGGTGGATCTTGAACTGGATCTAGACTAATGGATTCTGTCACAGCAACTTCGATCTCATCGTAAAAGTCAGAGTTCAACATAGTCAATGTTGATCCTGAATCAATTATGATATTGCCTTCTATTTGATTGCTTGGTATTTTCATGCTCCCCACGCTTACAGCGTCAAGCGTGAGATAGTAGAAGGTATCTGAATCCGAACCACCCGTCGATACTAATGGTGTTGAAACAACTTCTCGACCAGATATAATAGCATCTGGGCCAAATCGCAATACGCTGGAGGTGTTTACTATCCATGGAAGCAAACAATACGAGAACTCATACTCAATTTCAGCACCCAACTGTGAGATCAGTGACAGGGATCCGCCCCCAAGACCAACAAGCCCATAGCCAAGGATATTGAATGTTCCACTATTATCGTGACCGCATCCAAATAAAGAATTTGGAAATGCGAATACCTGGCCCTCGGTAGAACCAAATGTGAAGGTGTTTGAGAACAGGACCCCAGCAGTATATGAGTTATCCGCATAACTGTAGTGGTATTTGCATTCACCACTTGTATTGCCGTTTGTATATCTTGGTAGGGCTTGACAAGGGCTAGAGTCACAAGGAAGCTCCACATAAGTAGAAGATTTCGTGGGATCAAAGAAGGGTTGATCTTGAGGATAGCAACTGTCACAAGGTGCACACTGAACCCACACAAGATCACTTCCTGTGTCAACGATGGTTAGGCTTTCAATTGGTGGGCTTCCAATTGAAATCCTCATGAGATACTCACCACCATCTGGAATTATGTTGACTCAATTTTTTTTTATCAATAGATGATAGATTAAAGTGTTTTGTTCGGGCAATGGATCAAAAAACATCATCGCTTGACAACTCTCTTAAGATGGCAGAATGGTTATAGAAAGAAGACAATTGTGAGTAATGATGAATTAGTTCAATGCTGAAGTCACCGGTTTTATCTTCAACAAGGTATGTCATAGGCAAATGAAAGAAGAAGGATGTGAAATGTATTCTTAAGTCTCAATCTATAGAAGAGCATTTGTAATGATAACATTATTTTGTATATATTTTTTTTTTTTGCAATTATTATATAAAATTGCAGAAAGAACCACTATAGGTTAGTCCAGAAATGTTCTCTACCATGATGATAGCCTGGAGCTTTCCCAATGTAAGAGTAGTGATAGGGGTCCCTTTCATGGAATATCCATATAAGAGTGACAGGAAAATTCAATAAACAATTTTGGATCTGCATCAATGATACTATATATCTAACTACAATGACAGGGTAGTTAATCTTATGTTGTAATTTTGAAGTAGTCCATGGCTATGATAAGTATGATTTGAAAGAGACACAGAGAAGGCTAGCTAGCTGAATTGTGGGTTGCAAGAGAGAAAGAAAGAAGGAATTGGCATTCGTATTATGTCGAGTGTGTTCGTGTCGTGTCATTTACGGGTTTGTATCGTCTATTATTCAATCTAACCTAAGTCATTTAACTAATCGTGTCATGTCGACCCGACCTATTTATTTTTGTGTTATGTTAGTGTTAATCTATTTATTTTTGTGTAGTGTTTGTTGACTTATTTATTACTTTTTTCCCTATATCTATTTTGGTATAAACACATTCTTTGCATACCTTACCTTACAGATGTGTCTGGAAACCGTTCAAAAATAGGGTAGGAGTCCACTCGATATTAATTGCAAACCAAATGATTTAAGAGCTCAAACATGAACAATGTAACCGATTCAGCCTTCATCTCTGCATAGCTATCATAGGAAACAACCATTATATATCGGAAGCAAAGCACATGGCATCACGAAAATCTCCCAATAATGGAGCCTGAACCTAAAGTATAATGGAGAGTTTGTAGATGAGAACATCCCATTAATGGTTAGAAGAAAAGTCCAGGAAGATAGCATGCATACTGGATATTAGAAATGAGAATAGCAATAGTAATAGTTATAAAAATAGTAATAGCTAGTAGTTAAGTAGACTCCGTTTGCTTGTAACTCAATTCTCAATCAGCAAAAAAAGAAAACTGGCATCACGAGATATGTTTCATAACTTAAGAAGATCAAATTAAAATATTATAAATAATTCAACAAAAAAGGTCGTTCGCTTATACTTTCTCAATTTTCAGTTATCAATCTTCCTGGAATGGCTTTTCCTACTAGCGAGATCCTTGTCTTCAAGCAAAATTCGCATAACTATGGAATTAACTATAAGTTAAGCTTGTATAATATCAAAAGAAAGGCCGGTTTGAATTTGACGGGTGTTAATTGACTTGTTTTTTATCATATTTTATTACAACATTTCTTTTTCGTGTTATATTGTGCAATTCCATATCTTTTGTTCATCGGAGCTAACATAAAAAAAAAATCCGTTGGAGGCTTCAACTATGGCGGCCATTGCGCCTCTTGACATCCTCTAGTCGAATGCCACGGTTGGCTCGACTTAAGAAAATTAGCTAAAGGTGCAGCCTGACGAGAAAAGCATTGCATGTCAGCTTGACATATTACTGGTCCTTTTAGCTAATCAAAATTAATTCTTTTAAAATTAAAAAAAAAATAGATAAAAAATTAATTATTTGTATTAAAATGTATCTTATTTATCTATGTATCATTTGATATATACATATATTTTATATACATTAATTTCATATATAAATACAATGATAAAATATATATTTATATTTTTTTAAAAAAAACTTAAAATAAAAAAATAAAAAAAATATTTTTTCATCTTACCAAGCAAAAAAAAAAATTAATTCCTATTTTTTCATTTATATTTTTCATACATCCTACCAAACACAAAAGAAGAAAAATGTATTATTCTTATTTTCTTTCCTTAGAGGATAGAAAGTATATATATCTCATACTATCCATCCATCATATTTTTCATCATTCCTACTAAACGGAACATAGGTCTAGATTGGAAAACCATTTTTGTGATTGCTGTACTATATGCTTTAACTCAAGAAGATTGAAAGGAAGTAGGAAATGTTCTAAGTAGGAAACAAGGCTCGGAAGACAAAGAAAAGAGATTTGATTGACAAAAATAATATAATTCAGGGCCAAATAAATAGATAACTCTAAAGTTCTACTAAACTTCTCAACTAAATAAAGTTCTACTAAACTTTAGGGAGGGTCCGATACATGGCTTGATTCCTTACAATATACATAGGTCTATTGTTGTTGATGGACCAAATCCAAGAGGCCCAAATTCATGTTCAAAGCCCAGTCATGATCAAGAGCTCAAAGTTATGAAGACCTAGCAGGCCCAACAAGGTCCAAGCCCAATTAAACTCATTAGTTTGGTTACATCATCAAGAGAGCTCAAGAGCCTCACCTGCACCGTCTTGGAAAGAGTCAGCCCTCACCTCACCTCTGACGGAGTCTTGTGGAGAGTACCTCAACCACCTCACCCGTTGAGGAGAAATCATGAGCTCCGCCAGAGTTGTTACTTAGTTGCTATTACCTCGTCCAAGTCTGTTAAGAGGGCAACTATAAATTGTAAGTCACACCAACACTTAGGGGGGTATGGACATCACACTTTTACCTAAGCACGACTCTCTCTTCTCTCGCAAAGCTTGTACTCTCTTCTCCCTACACCTTTGAGCTAATAAAGTACCCGACGACTAAGGCCATTTAAACGTGGACGTAGGTCACGTTGACTGAACCACTATAAATGTTGTCTTCCCCAACTCTCTTTACTTTCAATTACTGCATTTATTTTCAATCACTTAACAGGTGGTGTGCAAATTCATTTTGTGCATCATCAGTTGTCTATTATGATCTTTGGTCACACACACACACACATATATATGCAGGTACCAATGGACATTTGGTTCAATAGTACTCATTACCTTGTAAAAACTCTGTCTTCTTTGTCCATTTAGGAAACTTGATTACAAATTTTAATTTTGTTTACTGACAAACTTTTTAACTCCGTGCCAAATATTTTCCAAACAAACACAACAATCAACTATCACATAGAAATAAAGACGGATAGTCGTAGAAAAATAAAGGTTATACACTTGTTATCAATTTCACTGTTAGACCCGATCATGCATTGTGCTGACACATTTTGCATATTTTTGAGATCTAAAGGGCTGATTTTATTTATATCAATTGGGTGATGTTGGGACAGCTTAGACAACTGGATATCAATTAAATAAGGAATAATTTGATACACCCAATAGGAGAGTGTGTGTCATGTGACTAGGTTTGGGAAGTCCACAAGGTAAGTGGTGCAGCACGTGAAGGCTGTGGAGTGTGGGTTAGTACTGCTATATTTTATGTATGTTGTAAAACTAAGAATATAGAGATAGAAAAGAGAGAACATAAAATATAAAATTGTAAAGAGCCGAGATAATATAGATGTTAATGTTTATATGCTTATAGGCTTGTCTCACATTGGTTAGATTAGGAAATTCACTGCTCTTTTATACTATAAATCAATCTCCTCATGTATATGGTAAAGCATATCAAAACAATATACAACTAATATGTGTTTTATATTATTTTCTTTCACATGGTATCAGAGCCTGTGCTTGTGAATCCTTCTGACCAAGGATAGTATGTTTTGTGGTTGCCTTACGAGAGATCCTCCACATCAGAACTCTTGAGGTTCTTCTGGTTGTCCTTCAACAACCTCCTTTGGTCATTCTCCGGCGCCGTTTCGGCCATCCTCTGTCGTCAGAGGTCGGCTCCACTCCGGCCTTCTCCAGCGTCGTTCCAATCATCCTCTATCGACTTTCCAATCACCTTTGACCATCCTCTGATGACCTTTCGGTTGCACTCCGACAACGTTCTGACCTGTGCAGCTATCTTCTCACGATGTTCTGGTCATCCTCCGGTGATGCTCCGATCGCCTCCCAACCATCCTCTGGCGACCTTCGGTTGTCCTTTGACAACTTTCTGGTCGTCCTCCGATGATGTTCTAACCTACCTCTGGCTGTCCTTTTACTTTTCCTAGCCATGCTCTGGCGACGTTCTGACCTATCTCGACCATCCTTCGGCTATCCTCCTTCGAAGTTCAGTTAATCCTTCAGCAATGTTCCGATCGTCTCCCCACTATCCTCTGGTGACCTCCGATGATATTCTGATTGCCTCCTAGCAACTTTTCGGTCTTCCTCCAATGACGTTTTGACTTGCCCCAGCCATCCTCCGATGTCTTTTTAGTCGCCTTCCGGTGATGTTCTTGACTTGCCCCAACCATCCTCCAATTGCCCTCCGACAATGTTCTGACTTGCTTAGCCATCCTTTGGTTATCATTTGACAGCCTTTTGGTCACCCTCCCACGACATTCCGACTTGTCCTAGCTGTCCTCTAACTACTTTTCTATCGCCCTCTGGCGACATTCTGACTTGCCCCTGACTGTCCTCTAATGACCTTCGGTTGCTCTTGAGTGACGTTCCAACCTGCTCCCACCATCTTTCGGTGACATTCCGATCTGCTTCGACCATCCTGATGATGTTCCGATCTGCTTTGGCCATCCCTCGATGACATTCCAACTTGCTTCGGCTATCTTTCGACGATGTTCTGACGTGCTCCAATTATCTTTCAATGACATTCTGATCTATTTTGGCCATCCTCCAGCAACATTTCGATCTGCCCTAGCCATCCTCTGGTGATGTTCCGATCTACCCTAGCCATCTTTTGGCAATGTTTCGATCTGTTTCGGCCATCCTTTGACGACATATCGATCTGCCTTGGTCTTCTTTTTGGTGACATTGTGATCATCTCCTACCATCCTCCGACGACTTCTCAACCATCCTCCGACGACCATATTATCTTATTGTGACAACCATAGTGTTATTTTTGATAATGATGTCATGAAGTCTTTTATGGGTGCACAAAATGAATTGAGAGCAATTGTCATTTTGTGTGTCTTCACCTACAAGAGGGCACTCTTCATCTTTTTTCTAGTTACTTTGGTTGATCAGTTGGCTGATATCTTCACGAAGGCTCATCAAACTGGTTACCACCGTGATTTGGTATGGAAACTCTAGTTGGCATCTTCGATCCCATCTGAAGTTTGAGGAGGAATGCTAATGTTTGTATATTTATATGTTATCCCACATCGGTTAGACTAGGAAACTCACTACTATCTTATACTATAAATCAACCTCCACATGTATATGGTAAATCACACCAAAGCAATACACCATTGATATTCGTTTTCTAGTCTCTTCTTTCACAATAGAAATGCTAGATAATAAAGCTTCTCAACTTATACTTCTCAATGCACCCAAGAACTCATTTTATAGGCCTCCAAATATAATGACCATCAAATACAATATTAAAGGTGGTATATCGGTGAGTAGGGAATTATAGGCTAATGCACTAACATCATACAATATTTACAATATTGTCCTTTGGATGACTACTATGCTAAGATAATATGCCTCATTAAAACTTTGTTAGGAAAATCCTACGGGAACAAACCCAGTAAATGACAAAGAGTATATATTCAATTGAATTTTAGAATAGTATTGAACGCACTAATGCTACCTTATTAAAACTTTATTAGGAAAACCCAATGGGATAAAACATAGACGAAGGAAAAGAAAAGTACATTGTGCATATGTTCTGTATTTTGATTTGGATACTCCTCCTGACAAGAAATCAACTAGATTGATCACAAACCCGACATACACTAATTTCATAAACCAATTTTTTGAATGATGATGATGGTAAAGCTTAGTGAATAGATCTGCAAGATTGTCACTAGATCATATCTATTTTACTTCAATTTCATTGCTTTGCTGGAGTTCATGAGTGTAGAAGAACTTTGGCGAAATATGTTTGATTTTATCATCTTTGATAAACCCTCCATTATTTTTTGTAATACAAGCATCCTTATCTTCAAATAAGGTTATTGGTGAATCTATAATTAAAGGGAGTCTGCAAGTATCTCAAATGTAATTGAATACTTACCTTAGCCACACACATTCATGACTCGCTTTATGGAGTGCAAGTATCTAAGAATAAGTGGAATTTTTAGCAATCAAAGTCTACATGGTAGATCGCCATGAGATCACTGTGTCACTATATGTGAAAACATACTCATTTTTTGAACGAGCCTTGTGTGGATCTAATAGGTATCCAGAATCTGCATAACCAACTAAATGTGGAACATTGGCTAATTATTTTGAGTATGACAAACCCAAATCTATAGTTCTACAAAGGTAGCATTGGACACGTTTTACACTATTCCAATGTCATCGAGTTGCCAGCAAGTTGACTGCAAATGTTATATCAGGCCTAATACGTTGTACTAAGTATAACAAAGTACCAATTGCACTTAGGTATGATAGTTCATGACCAAAACGTATTTCTTTTTTTTCCTCAGGATGAAAGGGATCCTTATTGACATTAACAAATCAAATAATCATATCCATGTTAAACAACTTCAGGACATTTTCGGTATAGATTGTTTGATGGATAAAAATTATGTTTAACGTATGCTCAATCTATAGGCCGAAACAATAATTTATTTGTTTCATGATCTTTCATCTCAAATTCATTTTTCAAACATTCAACAACTTTTATCAACTCTTCAAGAGTTCCATTCAGATTCATACTATCAACATATACTGCAATGATGATAAATCCATATTCTGATTTCTTAATAAATATATATGGGCGTATGAGATTGTTAACATATACTTCCTTTTTCAAGTACTCACTGAGATAGTTATACTACATTCTTTCAAATTGCTTCAATTCATATAAAGATCGTCTCAACTTAATTGAATACATGTTTCGTAATTTTAATGTGTTTGTTTTAGGAAATTACAATTCTTCAGGAACTTTCAAATAAATATCAATATTTAATTTTTCATATAAATATGCAGTAACAATGTCCATCAAACGTATGTTGAGTCATTCTGAGACTGCTAGACTAATAAGATATTGAAATATAATTGCAGCCATTACTGTTAAGTATGTTTCTTCATAATCAATTATGGGTCTTTACAATAAAATCTTGCACTATTAGATGTACTCTATGTCGCATCTTCACTTTTTTATTTTTATATAAATACCCACTTATATCCAATAGGTTTTACATTGACATTCATCTTATAAATGGTTTAATATAAATCATCCTTTAAAATTTTAATAGATACTTCAAAAGGAAATACATCATTGATGTCTATTTTATATGATCTCACATCTCTCTTATGCATACATTGTTGACAAAAACTTTTGCATATGCAAATATCTATCTCTCTTTAAGAACTTTTTCCTTTCCAGATGATATTATTTGAAATGACATAGAACATTTTCCTTTTCCACTTCAAGAACTTATTCATGAGTTGTATGTAGCTTCCCTTTTAATCTCCTCTACTAGGAAGTTAAATATTTTGAACCTATGAGTCAACCACGCTTCAAGCATGTAAGAAAATTCAAACCATTCTTTAAACAATAGATTTCCTCTCCCTAACGGTGAGAAGAGTGTGTCATTTTTCTTTTGTACGTACATAACTTCTTGAGATCTCATTTTTTTTTTGGGTACCTTTCTCTTCAAAAGACTCAGCTTCTAGGGATGTTTATATAAAAGCTTGAATTGATTATTTTGTCTATTTTATGGTTGTGGCCTCTTCGGGTGTACCAAATTTTTTATGCATTATTTCTTGTGTTCTTCACTTCTAGAGAATCTTGTTTATGACTACGACGAGTATTTCATGTTTCAAGCGTGCCTTCGATCATTTGCTTTATAATTTATGAAATATGAAAAAAGAGATCTTTATGTCTATATTCATATATTGAAAAAATATAATAAGACCTTCGAATATGATTCAATTTATTACAAATAAGGATATTAAGAATTTCAGGTTGAAATTTTCACATTATAGGTACACATAAAAAATAATTATAACATAGATTTGCAGAATTTAGACATGAACTAATCATTTAGATAAAGTCTCAAAATTCTTAACTGACTAATATTATAAATAATATTTGACTAATCTCAAATTAGGGTAATTATAAAATAGACTCATTGAATATTTTAAATAGTTTAAATATCAATGAGTTTAATGTCCACATCTTTGGTAATAGGTTAACATGGTTTTAAAGTTTACAAAACTCAATTGAAATAACACATAGTAATAAATGAGTCAATGAACTTGATTTACTTCAAAAAATCACACATATATCTAGCACATGGAAACATATTTCAACCTGAGTTATAACTTATCGTTAGCCAATCTACACATATCGGTGATTTATGCATACTAAGACTCATGATCAATACATATATGCAAAAAAATATGTATATTAACAATAATAATCGACAAATATCAATCTTGGACGTATAAATAATTTCACCATATATCAAGAAATGAATAATCATTTGCCAAAAAAATATTTTGGTTTTTTTAGTGGTCTTACGTGTAGTCACAATAATTCAAAGCTAGTCTTGGTTGTCTAAGATGAGCATGTCAAAAATTAAAAAAAATTGGGTCATGGCATTTCAAGTGCATCACAATATGTAGTTCAACTACTCTTAGGGTCATAAACTATAACCCTATACAAAATCCAAAAAATTTATCTAACCCTAGCTTTTGACTTGAAATAATAAAAGGGATAATGTGATATCTATTATGATGTATGTCTTTAAAATTTGGTAGATTTCCTCTTTATCTACAAAATTTCGTCAAGATAGAGTTTTTTCTTAGCAACATAATATTAGTTTTTCCGAAACTTTCATTCTAGTGTTACTATCTTAAACATCACAACTACCAGTTTTTAGATAGCTATTTTTACTAAGCCACCAAGGTTATATCCATAATCATGAAAATATATAAAATACAAGACACCACAATGTAAGGAAATAAAAATCAAAGGAAATTTAGCAAGTACAAGATACAACATAACATAAAATAATTAGTTCTTCAAGAACTATTTAGAGTTGAACTTCAAGATCAATCTATTTTTTTTCTTCATAATTGTTTAAACACATTCTTTTTAGGGAATGATGTATGTTCGGTCAGATGAGGTTGACATTTTTTCTCAAAAGCACAAAATTATTATTTTGTTTCCAACCACATGATATCAATCCATTGTGAATCTACCCTCTTGAGGTGCTATTATAGGAGGACATTCAAATCATGAAATGTGATCAATTATTTTTAGAACATATATTCTTTTGGAATTTTTTCTCATAATTTCAAGTATGTTCGAATCTTGCAACCTTAGGTGCATCGAACGTTTGGGAGGATTAAGATCTTCAGGAACTCATATATCTCCAATAAATATGTGGGTATTTTACTACAAAATAATCAACTTTATTTTTCAAATATATGGTTGTGAAGGATAATGATTGTATTTATGCGATCCTTCAAGGATGCTTAATTTCTTTCCTCAATTGTATCTTCAGGATCCATAGTATCAAACTGTCACTAATACACACTTTTTAATACATGATTCATTTTGCTTCTAATGGTGGATTCATCATTACGATTAATTTTGCTTCTAACGGTGAATTCATCATTATGATTCATTTTGCTTCTAACAGTGAACTCATCGTTTCTTTTGACAATGGAATCATTCTAATTCTGGCAA